GAGAATTTTCCTTCCTATATGATTTGAACTCGATTCACTACTTTAGCCAATTTATGTTATATGTTGGAATAATATTTTTAATAGTTAATTTTTTTTTTTTTTTTTTTTGTTTGTATAATAAGTTATATAAAATATTTTTAATACACTTCTGTTTGAGTTTTGAATCGAAAACTTAGAAGGGTTGGGTTTGAATCTTGGAAATACCAAAATTCAAATATAATGAAACTGGGGACAAAATAGTAATTTTTTTTGTAAATTGCAACTTGCAAGTTAATCTGTTAATGGTATAAACGCTAAAAAAACATAGAACAAAAACTTAGAAAACAGAGAGTAAGAATAGCTTTGAAAAAGAGGACTGAAGCATTGTATTTTTTCACCACTTACATTTGTCCTTACGTCTACAATTTATAGAGAAAAGAAGACAGGAGCAATCCCTGTTCACAGACATCTCAGTCGCTCAATCTATATTACAGAACTTTTACTCTAGCCATTGGATTGATTTATGTTAATGCAAGTTGCATGGCAACTTGCATAACAGATGGATTAAAACTTGTCAACTTGCATAACGGTTTCAGCCGCAACTTGTCAACTTGTTCAACTGATTTTGATCCACTTGCAGTTTGTTGGAGAGAAAATGCAAAATCTGTTGATATCTAGGAAACGAAAACTTTAATTGCTTGAGCTGAAGTTTGCCACAGTTTACATCGTCCCTCAAGCTGAAGTTCAAGCAGTCAATCCAAACGAGTTTGCAAAAAGAAACCAATAAAAAAAATTATTTGTTATCTTCCTAATCATCCCTCAATTTGAAGTTTGCAACTTACCTTAAACCTGATCGTTCCTCAAGCAAGAGCGAGGAAGAGGGAGCAGAGGATGCTAAGTGAAGTTGATCACGAAGAGTACAAAAATGAGAACCAGAAAGAGGTTTTGTCAGGATGTTAGCTACTTGAAAAGTAGTGGCAACATATTGGACTACAAGTTGTTTGGAACAAACCATCTCACGAACAAAATGAACATCAATTTCGATGTGCTTTGTGTAGGCATGGAAAATAGGATTTGAAGTAAGAGCTCCCGCACTGGTGTTATCGCACCATAGAACAGGAATTCCAGTGAGGGAGACGCACAGCTCTTGGAAACAAGTTCTAAAGCCAAGCAATTTCAGTTGAGGACAATGCCAGTACTGATTTTTTTTTTGGAACACCACTAAACCAGGTTGGAACCAAGGAAGATGCAATATCTAGTGGTGGATTTGCGGTCAGAAACGTTACCAACCCAGTCAGCATCAGCATAGCCTTCCAGTTGCAAAGTATCACTTTTGGTGAAGGTTAAACCATGATGAATAGTCCCTTGGGCATATCGAAGGATATGCTTGCAAGCTTGCCAATGATTTACTATTGGAGCTTTAAGGAATTGGCTGAGTTTGTTAACCACAAAGGACAAGTCAGGCCACATGAGGGTAAGATATTGGAGTGCTCCAAAAAGACTCCGATAAAGTGAAGGTTGGTCAAAGAGTGGATTGTCGTCAAAAGACAATTTAGAACCAAGTATCATTGGTATGGAGCAGGATTGCAATTTTGCATTCCATATTTGACTAATAGGTCTTGAGCATAGGTGCTTTGATTTAAGAGTAAACTAAAAAGAGTGTGGTGAACAGCAATGCCGAGGAAGTAGTATAGTTTGCCCAGAATCTTAAGACCGAAAGTGTTGTCAAGATCTTGAACAATCTGGTGCATCAGTGTAGGATCACTCCTAGTGAGTACTATGTCATCCACATAGACTAAAATATACAATTTAGTTGTCCCTTGATGGTAAAAAAATAGACTAGAATTAGAGGTGGAGTTGTGGAAGCCATGAGATAGTAGTACAGCTTTTGAGTTTATCAAACCATGCCCTAGGGGCCTGCTTTAATCCATATAGAGCTTTATGTAATTTGCAAACATGTGTGGGATTATGTTTGTCAATAAAACCTTCAGGTTGTGTCATGTAAATAGATTCAGAGAGGTCTCCATTTAAAAAGGCATTGTTTACATCCACTTGCTGCACATTCCAACCATGAGGAACTGCTAAGGTAAGAATAACTCTGATGGTGGAGGCCTTGACAACAGGGGAGAATGTCTCAAAGTAATCTATACCAGGGGTTTGATGAAATCCCTTCGCAACAAGTCGAGCCTTACATCTTTGGAAGCTGCCATCAGCATTATGTTTAGTGCGAAACACCCATTTGTTACCAACCAACGTTATATCAAGAGAGTAAGGCACAAGAGACCAAGTGGTGTTATTTTGCAGTGCTTCAAATTCAGAGGTCATGGCTGCATACCAACGTAGGTCTTGCAAAGCTGTCGAAACTGATAAAGTTTCTATAGGTATGTCACGTGTAGTAGTGCTAAGAAGAGCAGCAGCCTTTGCTCTTGTAACATGGGATGAAGATTTTGAATTCTTGGAGCTACAAATTCAGGGGTTGGTGTTTGTGCTATAAGATGTGAAGGGGGTGAAAATTTTTCTAAGCAAAGATCAACCTCCAAACGTATGGGAGAATAGTGTGAGAAGGTAAGAACAAATATTAAGGTTGAGATGGAATTTTGTAAGTGGTTTTCAGTAGGAGGTTGAGGGAGTGTGGAAAAAGATATAGGAAAAGAAGAGGGTAGTACAAGCAGTTGCCAAAGAGAAAATGTGTTTGTGGAATTTGGTTGTGGTGTTTCAAAAAGGCTGAATGTTATTTCTCCAATCTCATCTCATACTTGTGTAATAGGAATTGCACTTCTTGAAGAGAAACATCTCCACTTCGAGAGGTTAAATTTGCAACAACCGCGTCATATTTGGTTCTCAGGCCATCAAGAATATATATAAGCAACTCTTCATCATTAACAACTACTCCATTGATAGTTAATGATCCAGCAACTTCTTTCATTTTCAGTATATAGTCATTGATGCTCAAGTTTTCTTTTCTAGTAGTTTGTAGAAGATTTTGCAGATGTAGTATTCTGGCTTTTGAATCAGTAAGAAAGTGCATTTCTAAAGTTTTCCAAACATCAAAACTTGTTTCACAATTTGCTACATGTCTAAACATTGTTTCAGAAATAGAAGATATCAACCAGCCAAACAAGAATTGATCTAGTTTCTTCCACATGGTGTATTCTGTATTAACTGTCTTTCTAGAGTTATCATTTGGAGAGATTAAGAGAGCTGGAGGGCACAGTTTATCACCTGTAACGAATCCTTCAAGTTCGAAAGCTTTCAATGCAGGGAGCACTTGTGATTTCCAATAGGCGTAGTTCTTTTCTCCTAGTTTGACGGTGACGATTGGTAGAGCATTCGCTAGAGGAAGCTTGAGAGCTTTCCATCAGTATTGATGTAGGTTGATGTAGGGGACTTAGGATCAGCCATTTGACATTTGTCAAATATAGCTCTGAAACCATATAAACGCTAAAAAAAATAGAAAACAAAAACTCAGAAAACAAAGAGCAAGAACAGCTTTGAAAAAAAGGACTGGAGCATTGTATTTTTTCTCCACTTACATTTGTCCTTACGTCTACAATTTATAGAGAAAAGAAGACAGGAGCAATCCCCGTTCACAGACATCTCAGCCGCTCAATCTATATTACAGAACTTTTACTCTAGCCATTGGATTGATTTATGTTGATGCAAGTTGCATAACAGATGGATTAAAACTTGTCAACTTGCATAACAGTTTCAGCCGCATCTTGTCCACTTGTTCAACTGATTTTGATCCACTTGCAGTTTGTTGGAGAGAAAATACAAAATGTGTTGTTATCTAAGAAACGAAAACTTTAACTGCTTGAGCTGAAGTTTGTTATAGTTTACAAATGGAATTGGATGGAGTTAGGGCTCAAGGGGGGTTTTTTACTATTTCTCTAAAAAGTATCATAAGTTTGTTATTAGCAAAAAGTGTGGGGTAGTTTTAAAATTCTCCCATATTTAATGTGAACGAAAGGATAATTTTTTCACAAGTCATGGAGAAGATTAAGAATGTAAATGAAAGAATAATTTTTCTTATTAAATATTCCAACAACGTGAAAAGCTTGATAATTAATACTATGTGAAAAAGACCAGCAGCAACGATTATGTTATGAGACTGAATTATTTGTACAATTTTTTATTTGAAACCGTGTAGGCCAATCCTTACCATTTGTATTATCAATTATTAACTTATATATGATGGACCATAAATGATTCATTTACTTTGCATTTAATAATTGGTAAATTTATTCTATTTATTTTCATTAAATTCGAGAGATTTATTATTCTTATTAATTAATTAGAATATGTATCTTTTACTTTCTAAAACTCAAACTTCTATGTTTATACATCTCTTCATAATCATCCAACTTTAATTCATTACAAACTAACATCTAGACTTAGTCCAACTTTCCTTCATAGGCTTAATTTCTTGATTCCTTTGATTCTCTCCATATTATATTTGAGGTTATAAGAAAAAAAAAATTAGAAAAATGTTATTTTGAAGATTTAATAAAATCATAGACGCAAATAGAAAAGTTACAATAAAATTTTTCATTTTATTATTAATCTCTAGTTTGGTTAGTTCTCTTCTTTAATTACCTTTTTTTGTTTTTTTTGTTTTTTTTTTTTTTTTTTTTTTTTTGTAAGTTTATATAAATAGTATTCATTTGTTCTTATTTATTAAAAAGTTTATTCATTTGTAATTTTTTTCTGAACAATAAATATGCATCTGTAGGTAAAAATATGACATCTGAATAGAGACATTTAATTTATATTCTATAAAGGATTTACTATATATATATTATTATATTAATATATATATATATATAATTCCAAAATTATAATGAATTGTCACAATTGACAACTTACTCTACGTCGTTCCTGGAAAACAAAAAAACCAAAAAGACTTTAACTCAGACTATATGTCATAAGCTAATATACTACAAGACTTGTTTAATTGTAGGAGTGTTTATTAAGGTCCAAGGCTTCTTAAGTCAAAAAGAGGTAAAAAATTATGTGTAAAAATGGCTCTCAAGTCAAAAAGAGGCAAAATTTACGAATAAAAATAAACTCTTGTGTCAAAAGAGGTAGAATTTAAGAATTAAAAAAAAAAAAAAATTGACACAGCCTTGGGCAAGATCAATTAAATGGAGGTTTTGCTAGCTTCAAACTTATATATACTATAATCTGGCTTCAGGTAGAGAGAATATTTACCAAGCATAAGGTTTTTAACATGGTGTTAAATTCTTCACTTCTAGAGTGTTGATTATATGTGTTACTATTTTTACATTGATTGTTGCTATTAGTATTTCTAATAGTTGTAGCAGCATCTGAACTATCATCTTTACAATTGAAAAAGAAGCTCTAGTTAACACCAATTGGTGGGATCCCATCAACAATTTTTCAAATCATTGCAAATGGTTTGGTATCGCTTGCAATTCAGCAAAGCATCTTTTATATAGATCTTTGGTACCCTCATATAACATAGAAGGAGAGCTTAGCCGATTTAACTTTTCTTGCTTTCCCAACCTGAAAATTTTCAGTATCGTAAATACTTCTCTCTCCGGACACTTCCATCACAATTGGTGTACTTTCAAAGCTCAAATTCCTCTCCTGTCCAATAATAATCTTACAGGTGGCTACTGATTTTTTTTTTTTTGTTTGGTTTATATCATTTTGAATAAGAGGTGATCCAATTAATTGACATTTTTTTTTTTTTTATTTGGCAAATAAATTGAAGGTATTATCCCTCCAGAGATTGGAAGGTTGAGCAATCTCAACAGATTGGATTTCTCATTAAATAAACTCGTTGGAACAATCCCTTCAACTATTGGTCATTTGAGCAAATTGATCTCTTTGGATTTGTCTGATAACAATTTTATTGGATTAATTCCATCAGAGATTAGAAACCTTCAAAGTCTTACTCGTCTTTATTTGCAACATAACTCACTCACTGGGAACATACCTTCTCAACTTGGAGAAATTCATGCCAGGCAATCCTTGCATATAGATCTTTCGCACAATCATCTTTCTGGAACCATCCCTAAATCACTCCAGACAGTGTATTACATTGACTTGTCATACAATAATTTGGAGGGTGAAATTCCAATTGGTTTGCAATCTCAAGGACAGCAACAATTTAGTGGTAACAAAGGTTTATGTGGCCTAGTTGATAAAGGCTTTTCCGCTTGTCACCAAAAGAAGGTCTCTCCTTTTCTTAAAATTTTGCTTCCTATCACAACATTTCTCACCATCTTATTTTTTGGATTTTTGATTCTCCTTAAATGTAAGGATGAAAAACCTAAACCCGAGACAAGGACAACCAAGGTTGGAGATGTGTTTTCAATTTGGAATTATGATGGTAAAATTGCATTTGAAGACATGATTGAAGCAACACAAGACTTCGACATCAAATACTGCATTGGAACTGGGGGTTACGGTAGTGTTTACAAGGCACAACTACCAAATGGCAGAGTAGTTGCTTTGAAGAAGTTTCACAGTTTAGAAACTAAGGAGTCAACATTCCTCAACAGCTTCCAAAACGAGGCTCATGTACTGTCCAAATTACGACATAGAAATGTTATTAAGCTTTATGGATTTTGTTTTCATAAAAAATGCATGTTTTTAATTTATGAGTACATGGAGAGGGGAAGCTTGTTTTGTGTTCTACGCAACAACAATGAAGCAATTGAGTTGGATTGGAGTAGGAGGGTAAACATTGTTAAGAATATTGCGCATGCTTTGTCTTACCTACATCATGACTGCATTCCATCAATCGTTCACCGCGATCTATCAAGCAACAACATTCTACTAAACTCTGAATTGGAAGCATTTGTTGCTGACTTTGGGTTGGCTAGACTTCTACATCCCGATTCTTCAAATAGAACCATATTAGTCGGAACTTATGGATATATAGCCCCAGGTGAAATACTTAGTTACTCTTCTCATAAATATTTATGACTCTTATAAGCCAAGCAACATCTTTTGAATCTATATACACCTAACATTTTGATACCACTAATTGCTTCAAAGTAAATTAGATGAAAGAATCTTATTATTTCTTAAGGATTTCTAATTTTCTGTGCAGAACTTGCTTACACCATGGTTGTGACTGAGAAATGTGATGTTTATAGTTTTGGAGTGGTGGCACTTGAAGTATTGATGGGTCGTCATCCAGGAGAACTACTTTCATCATTATCATCTTCTCCTAATCAAAATATGATGCTTATTGATCTCTTAGACCCACGCCTTCCATGTCTTGCAGACACAATAGTCGTGCAGGATATTGCTCTTATTTCAAGAATTGCATTTGCTTGCTTAAGTTCTAAACCAAAGTCACGACCAACAATGCATCGCGTGTCTCATGAATTTCTTGGCCGCAAGACATCATTGGCAAAACCTTTTCATGAGATTTCCATCTCAGAGATGAGAAACCAAAATATATATGCAATTGGTGAATCAGAGGATTAGGCATGGGGGTCTTTCACTGTTATGTAGCAACAAATCTTTTATTTGGCCTATCTTTTTAGGTTTCTTCTCTTAATGTAGCCTTTATTTTTTTTTAAATATAATAAAGTATCTTTTCATGTGCAACTATAAAATTTACATTTAGAAAAGTCATGGATTTCGTTTAATATATACAGTTTTTTAATGTTCAAAGAGTAACTAAAACTTTTTTACAGTCGTCCGACCTTGAGAAATTGTTGTCATAATGTATTTTTCGAGTCTAAATTGAATAGTTGAATTTATTTGATTAATGAACAAAATGAAAAGATCAAGTGTAAAAAGATTTGTTAGCTTAAATTAATCTTATGCGAAAATGAATTCTTTAAGATTTGACTTCTGACAGGAAAGAACTAATTAAGAATGCCAATATGAAAGAAAAGAGAAGAAACTTGAGCAGGAATAAACACCCATATCCATTTGTTTATCTCAACAAAATAAAGATGCTAGAGATTCTCAAAATAAAGCTTTAAGCCAAAATTGAGAGGGAAAGAGAAATTAACACCACAAATGACCAAGAATCTTCCTCGGTTAATTTTTTTTCATGTTCCAAACTAACCCAATTTCTAACCAAAACTTTTAAGGTTACAAAATGAAGTAAACAGGGACAAAATAACTCTTTTTTCTTGGTGCTTATTAATATTTAGTTTTGAGTCTAAACTAACATCTATGGTGGACTGACAATGGGCCTGGTTGACCAGCTAGGATTTTCACGATGATATGGTGAGAATATAAGGACCATTTGGTATAAAGACTGTTTTGCCTTCTAGTGCCTCTGTTAGCTATGTAGTTTCTGCTCAAGCATCTACACTTTTCAATTTTATTTACTAACTCAACCTATATGTTTATACATTTCTAAAACTCAAACTTCTATGTATACACATTTCTTCTCAATCATCCAACTTTACAAACTAACATCTAGCCTTAGTCCAACTTTCTTTCTTTAGTTCTTTTAACTCTCCAAGAGTTCAACTATAATCTGATTTTATTTCTTTATACTTAATTTCTTGATTGCTTTTATTCTCTCAATATTATTGTGAGGTTATAAGAAAATAAAGATTAGAAAAATGTTATTTTGAAGATTTTCTAATAAAATAATATCCACTTTGATTCTAGCTGTCTATCATAATTTAATTCTAGTAGTGTTTATTAAGGTCCAAGTTTTCTTAAATAAAAAAGAGCTAGAACTGTTAATAAAAATGAGACACGGCCTGAGGCAAGACAAATTCTATCAAAAAGAGTATCTAGCTTCAGGTAGAGAGCATCTAGCTGAATCAATATAAGATTTTGTAGACAGTAAAATCTACGATTACGGAATAGACTGATCCTGTGAGGTTGAGGCCACTAATGATCTGTTGAACCTATACACCCAAAAAAGGTAAGCATGAAGCTCACGGGGGACACCGGTGTGGTGTCTGCCGTAGACACTCTGATGTTCAAGTCAGCTAAACTAAAAAGGGCAATTTAATGAGGGTTAAGGGGAGGAAAGGTTATCCGAGTCTTTTCAAAGAGTAGAACTACGGTGAAGGTGATGGTGGTTCTTAGGAGTAAGAACTTTAAGAGCTAGTAGGTAGTATTGAATAATGAATGCATAATGAAAGGACTAGCCTCTATTTATATAGGGAGCCCAAGGGGCTTGAGTCCTAATAGAACTCTGAGTTCATAATGGCGGTATTTGAGTTAATAGGAAAGTCTTGATTTACTTTTTTTTTTTTTTTTTTTTTTGTAAGAGTAAAAGTCTTAATTCATGCAAGATTCAGGATCTTAGATAAATTAGGATATGAATAGACCACTAGGTTCTTTGGAGTGACCATGGCTGGTGGGCCTAAGCCCAAGTGGACTAACGGCGAGGCCTAATTGAGGGTAAGACCTTAGTGATTGGAGGATCCGATTCGTAAGTAGCCTGGTTGGTGCAATGGGTTGGCCCATGTTGCGGATCTTAGTGTAGGCCCAATCGGAATTGAGTCATGGCCTTGGGTCACATAATAGATGTTTCTTGTTTGGGTCTAACAAGACCCAAAAAGATTTTTGTCCCACACAGATTTTAAACATGGCGTTTACTTCCTTCACTTGTAGAGTGGTGGTAATATGGGCTACCATTAGAAAAGGATGCTCTACTTATCTCCAGTTGGTGGAGTAACAATTACATGACCAAGAATACTTCAAATCATTGCAAGTGGATTGGTATCACCTGCAATTCACAAGGAAGTATCATTGAGATAGATTTACAACTATTTACATGGGCAAAGAGTTTAGGGTTTAGCCAAATAAACTTTTCTTGCTTTTCAAACCTAGAAGGCCCCAATCTTACATGGAATTATCCCTACAGAAGCATTTTATCACAAATTTGTTCTTTACTATGCTCAAATTGCTTTCTCTGTCTAGTAATTATCTTAAAGGTATGCAACAGATATTTTGGTTATTTTAAATCAAATTGAAGGTGTTATCCCTCCAGAAATTGGAAGGTATAATTTTTATTTTTTTAGTTATGTAGAAACTTCAATTTTGGGGCAATATAATGTATAAGAAATAGAGTTTAGAATTTTTGCAAGAGCCCATGTGAGATTTTGCAAGAAGCCCAAATTCGCTAAAGGGCCACTAAAAAGTTTCTTGGAGGCCCACTTAGCTAGAGAGTGGATTGGGAAGTTTCTTTCTTGTAAAGGTTCCACCTAAAAAAAAATGAGAAATTATAATTAATTTATGAGAATAAACTAAGACCTTAAAATAGGAACCAAAAATCCTTGGTTAAATTATATTAATACCTTTTTTACCTTTTAATAGTATATTACTGTTCAATGTCTCTTATGTATCTATTTGAAAACTTGTTTCTTGTAAGTATAGAACTGAATGATAATATCCTAAAATTTATAACAATAAAAATTACACCCATGAATTTGAAGAAAAAAAGAAAGCCCTTTAAAATTTAAAATTCGCAAGAGTTAAAGCCATAATTCTAATTTTAATGTTCTTGAGAGGGTATTGATGGAATCTCAAAATTTGTGATGGGAGTTATTTGCGTTATTTCAAAGCTGTCGAGTTTAGAATATTTAACTAAAGTTAGGGGACTTCACAAACTATTCCTCTAAACTCCTCAATCAATCCGCAGCTTTTATTGTCCCCAGCGAGGCCAGGGACTTCTTCGTCAGAAAGAAAAACACTGAACCAGAGTCAGAACCAGAGAAAAAAAAAAAAAATGGGATCATTTTTATCTAGCATGTTAGGAGGATCTGAGGGTCAAGATTCATCAGCATCATCAGAATCTTCTTCTGGTATCAGCTCTTTTCATTCTTCAGCAAGATGGCAGCTCCACTTCAATGGCTGCAAAGATTCTTCCCAACTGGTATTTTTGTTTATTTTTAAATTTTTTTTCATGCCTATTTACTTGTTAAATTTGATTTTATATTCTGGGTATTGTAGATCTGAAATTTTTATGTGTATATTTGGGTTCAAACTCAAAAGATGGTGATAGATTTTGCTGCAAGTTGGTGTGGTCCCTGCAAGTTTATGGAGCCTGCAGTACAAGAGATGGCTAATAAATTTTCAGATGTTCAGTTTGCCAAAATTGATGTAGATGAGTTATCTGTATGTTCTATCTTGATTTTTTTATATTAATTTGAAATTTTGTGATGATTTATGGTGAAGATTGAGTTGGACTGATTGATTTTTTGTTTGTTTGTTTGGAATTTGTGGGGTGTGATTTGGTAGGATGTGGCACAGGAATTTAAGGTGCAGGCCATGCCTACATTTGTGTTGGTGAAGCAAGGGAAGGAAGTGGATAGAGTGGTTGGTGCTAAGAAGGATGAACTTGAGAAGAAAATTGTGAAATACAGAGCTCTTTAAAGAGGGTTTTCTATGCTTATAATTTCTTTGTATTTCTAATTCAAAAGAATAATTGCTTAAAGATGAGTTTATGCTACTTGATGTTATTGAATCCAATGTTGCTTGTGGGTATGATTGAACTTTATATTGTTGGCTGTATTGTTTTCTCTGAGTAGTACTGCTATGTATTTTGTTTTCCAAATTCTGCATTCCAAGTATTAGCAACATTGAATTGAAACTTAATTTGAAAGTCATATCTGGACTCGGACATTTTCTGATGCCTTTCTCTTGTGCGGATCCTATTTTAATGGAAACTTGATGAGTCGATTCATCTAGACGACTAGACTACTTGCTTTTACTGTTATGTTGGGGTAGTTTATGATTAAATGGTCCATGACATAGCTTGTACTCCATTCTTATCATGAGTTTCACCATAAGCAACCAGAAAGTCTAGGATGTGAAGATGTCTAATGCTCTCCATGAGTCTAAGAAATCATGGATGTTTCTTTTGTGTAAATGCAGAGCTTTAAAGCAAGTGTCATTTGTTTGGTTTTTTATCTCTGGTTTATATCATCCATGAGTATGTGGTACACCTGGATTTAAAACAAAAAAAGAAAAGGTGATTATTGATTGATTGACTTCTTAAATTTTGTAGTTTTTATTTGATTTCATTCTCTAGATATTCTAATGATAAAATATAAATTTTGTAATTTCAAAGCTTCAGAGAATGAAAGCACTAGAGACATGGAATTTTTCAACAGAGAAACGCAAATAACACTTGATATAATGGTTTTTTATCGGGCTTTATTATCGGTTTTTTTCACTCATAACGTCACAATTGTTAAAACTCCTATGGACTCAAAACAAAGAGATAAGCTCCATCCTAGTCCGTAACAATTCTGAGAGTTCTTTTTTGTTTCTGTAAAATTTGGTGACCTTATTTATTCAGGTTTTTTTTTTTTTTTTTTTTTTTTTTCCTATTTTTGGTAAAACTTGGTTGTATGGTGAAGAGATAGAGCAGAGTTCCATCACTAGAAGAAGAGATCGAGCGTGCAATGCTTGCATGTCAAAAAGGAAGGGATAATGCGGCCATGGCAATCGTCAAAGCGGCCGAGAAGTGCCACCTGGTTATGGCGGTTTCTTCTGAGGTGAAGAAGTAACTCCAGGCTGAAATATGGGAACAAGAACGAGAAAGGACGTCGTTTGAAAATAGATAGCATCTGCAATAGATTTGCAAAAGATACTATTGATAGTAGGGATTATGAAGTTGAGAGTAAAATGGATGATTTGATTGAAGATGTTGAAAGATTGTTTTGTTGTTAAAAGATGATTATTTCCTGTATCTTCTGGTGGAAGCTATTGATTTTGCTAAAAAGAAAGGGAAAAAAAAAAAAGAGGAAGTTTCGGGAGTATTGTGATAAAAAGTTTGCTGATTCAGTGTCATACACTAACCACTTTGTTGACAGGCACGACTTTAAAACTAAAAGGGATGACTCTTTGAAAGAACATCCGCCGAAATTGTTGATGATGAATCGGTTGAGATGATAGTGAATTGCCTTTGGAAGCCAGTTGATATAGCTCCAGCAACCGAGATTGTTCTCGATGACATTAACGTAGAACTGGCATTCTGCAATGATCATCACTGTTATGAATTGCTTGAGGAAATCCGTGACATGTTTCAGCTTCTTCTCAAACATGGGTGTCTTACAAAATCACACGTTTGGTGGGCTATGAATTTTACTATTGAGGGATTTAATGGGATTATTTCAGTGAAACAGTTTAGAAAACATGGCTTGTTAGCCCCTTAAAGTCGTATGCTTTTCTGGAGCTCCGGAGCTTGAAATGATACTAAATTGTTTGAAGTCACTGGCAGGTACTTCGACTTGAGTGAACCCGAAAAACAATTCATATATATACATATATAACTCCATTGATGATAGAGATGGTGAGGTTTGTGATGTCAAAGAGAAGGTGATGTTCAGCGAAGACTCGTCATGTCTTGTTCTGGAGAAACAAGTATTGCTAGGAGAGCTACAAGTGAACTGAATGAGGAGAAGAATAAGAGAATCTCATAAATGAAAAGTAAAGGGGGTTTTTGATATCTATGAAAAAAAAAGTTTACATTTGAGAAAATTGTTGATGAGTAAGAGTGAACATATGAACGAAATTGGAGCAGGTACAGAATTCAAGAAATGCTCTTATTTGAGCCACCGTAGGAAACCAAAAAGTGAGGTACAAATTGAATTTGAAGAATTGTATGATAAAACCAAACAGACAATGTTACAGTCATTTACGATTATATGAAATAGACATGATAATAAAGAGGGAGAAGAAGAAAAAGGAGATGTGAGTGCATGCGTAACTCTTTTTAACTATCTATTTTTTCTTATTTATTATGTACGAATTCTCTTTTGATCTGCCTATGTGTATGCCCGGTAGATTCTTCATTATGACGCAATGATCATGCGGAGTGTTTCTGTCCCTGAATAAATATAAACAGCAACTCTCGAATGAACGCCCTTATGACTATCAGTCAATTACTTTGCTCTTGTTGATATCAACCCGAAACCGACCCCTTAACCGGGTCAAGCAACGGTCCAGTTTTTAAAATAATGTTATTGATTAATAGAGACTTCAAATTATATAGTTTTTATTTGATTCCATTTTGCGGAGATTCTAACACTGAAAACACCATTACTGATCCATTATATTTGTCTGTTAAGTATATTTGTTTGTTTTAATGCTTCACAGAATGGAACCAACTGGGAATTTCCCCACTAGATTTTTTTGGAGGGAATTATTGAGTAGAGAAATGCTAATAATGAGTTGAAATCGGGCTTTATCATCTATTTTATTTACTTTTAAATTGACCCTATATAACCAAAGTTCAATCGAGATAATTATTGAAAATGGAAGGAGTAAAAAGTAAGATAAAGAACAGCACAATAATATGCAAGGAATATCAACCATAAATAGGCACAATATTTTATGTGATTCGTTATAAATCTCCTACATTTATGGATGAGATAGTTAATTTTATTATAATCTTAAGAACACAAATGTTAAAGCATAAAACGCCATCAACCTAATACTTGGACGGACATTATGTTTTTATGGTATTTAGTACCCCTTCTCATATCTTATTTTCTCACATTCTCATTTATCCTTAAATTGATTCTCATACAAGTAGAATAGGACATTTTTTCTATTAGGATTCATATTTCAAATCCTATTAAGACTCATTTAATTTAATTCATTCTCCTATATTAACTCAAAATAAAATTTTAAACCAATTCTTCTTTCCTAATACAACTCATAATAAAAGAAATCAAATATTTCCTATTACAAACTCTTGAAATAGAGATTTACTTAAAACTTAAATTCTCCTAAAAATCTTTACCAACTACTAAAAAGTGTTTCACATTCCAATAATAATAATAATAATAATAATAATAATAATAATAAAGGAGATAAAATAAAAAGAGATAAACTTCATCCAACTTTGGTTTTGGTAAAACTTGTTTTGTCCCTTTTGGGTTATTGAATCTATGTAAGAGTATTATTTGATTTTTTATTTCATAATTTGTTTTAATAGTATTGTATTAGGATATCAATTCATGTTTTAGTAGTATATTTTAGGATTTTTAATTTATTGTTTTAGTATTCCAGCATTAGGATTTTTACTTTCTCTTAGTAAAATTATTATTAGTGTACTATATATATATGGTTGTTAAATTTCAAGTTATTGAATCAAATCTTCAGTAAAATGAATTATTGCCAGATTTTGAGATTTATCTCTGCCTATTTTGAGAGGAAAGAACGTCTGAACTTGTACACAACGAAACAATTCTGTGTCTCAGGCCAAACCAGAGCTCCATCACTAGAAGAAGAGATCGAGCGTGCAATGCTTGAATGTCAAAAAGGAAGGATTAACACAACCATCGCAATCACCGGTCATTCTTCCTGATTTCAAGAACCGATTCACGTCTGAAATATGGGAACAAGAAAGAGAAAGGATGTCGTTTGAAGCCAAGGTAACATCAGCAAGAGATTTGCAAAAGATACTATCTTCTCTGCCTGATAGGTATTATAAAGTTGAGAATACAATGGATGATTTGATTGAGGTGAGAATTGAAGATGTTAAAAGACATGTTGTGTTATTAAGGGATGATTATTTTCTGTATCTTTTGGTGGAAGCTATTGATTTTGCAAAAGAGAAAAAAACATGGAACTTTTGGGAGTGCTGTGATAAAAAGTTTGCTGATTCAATGTCATACACCAGCCATTTAGTCGAAAAGCATGATTTTAACATTAAAAGGGATGATGACTTGAAACAATATCTGCCCGAAATTGTTGATGACGAGTCGGTCGAGATGATAATGAATGGCATTTGGAAGCCAGTTGATATAGCCATAGCAACTGAGATTGTTCAAAACAACATTAACGTGGAACCGCCACTTTGCAATGATCGTCAACGCACAGAATTGCTTGTGGCAATCCGTGACAGGTTTCAGGTTCTTCTCAAACATGGGTTTCTTACAAAATCACATATTTGGTGGGCGATTAGCATTACAGTTGAGGAGTTTCGTATGAATATTTCAGTGAAACAGTTTAGAAAACATGGCTTGTTAGCCCTTAAAGTCCTAGGCTATTCTAGAGCTCCACAGCTTGAAAAAATCCTGAATTTTTTAAAGTCGCTGGCAGGTACTTTCGGGTTGAGTGAAACCGGAAAACCTTCAGAGATTAACTACATTGATAATAGAGGTGATGAGGTGTATAGTGTCAATCAGAAGGTGATGTTTAGCGAAGACTTGTCATGTCTCCTTATGGAGAAGCAAGTATTGCTAAGAAAGCTCGACGTAAAGTCCTCATTAGAATCATGGAGAAGAATAAGACAGTCTCAGAAACGAAAAGCAAAGGAGGTTTTTGATATCTATGAAAAAGAAAGTTTACATGTGAGAAAATTGTTGATGAGTAAGAGTAAACTTATGTACAAAATTGCAGCCGTTCCAGAATTTAGGAAATTTTCATATTTGTCCGACCTTATGAAACGAAATAGAGAGTAAGAATATGTGAGTGCATACCGCAGGGAACAAAAAAGAGATTACGAAGATGTGAGTGCATGCATCACTCTTTTCATCAATCTATTTTATCTTATTTATTCTTAGAACATTCGAATTCTCTTTGGCAGATTCTTTATCA